AGAACATCAGCTCTGGCTGGCTTTGGCTTGGTGGAGGCCATGGCCCACAGACACAATGCCCTGAGGTTGGCACACACTCCTATCACCCAAAGGGTCAAAAAAGAGGTTTTTGGTGTGTGGCAAAATTTCTGGCCAGAGGAAGTGAACACCCATCCACCCTTACTCAGAAGGGTTCTGTTGTAAAACCCCCACCCCAGGTAGGACCCATATACATGGGACATCCACGTGAAGGGCAGCCGAGGAGGGGTGAGAAACACTCAAGGATGCCCAAAGCTCCTCAGGCCCATTTTCTTTTCTGTGCCTATTACCACAGCAGTACATATGACAAAACAGATCCACAGTCTCTTGCCATACACTGTGTCAAAATTTCCTCCCACTACGCCTCACTCCCAGGGAGGTTTCTGGGTATTCCCACCTGGCTCTCCTGAATCAAAATCCATTGGAGCACACTTACAGCAACACCTTGCAAGGTGCTGCAGATCTCACTGCACAACCAAAGCCTCAGGAGACCCGCGATTTCACCAGCCCCTGACTTACCCCAAACATCACTTGATACATACCAATGGAAACTGCAGCCATGGGGACTCTCAAAAATGCTGCATCATACATCTGGGATTGCCAGAACAGCCCAGGCTAAACCAGACACCTGCAAGAAGCACAAAACATTCCAGGTTTAGGGCCATGCTCACCACAGGTGCCACTTCCCTCCTGCACACTCCCACCTGCAGATGCACCAGCCCAGCTGCACACACAGAACCTGCACAGCTCTGACAGCTCACAGGGGCTCAGGGACACCTCAGACAACATTCCCACATTAACCAAGACAAAAACTGCCAAACCATGAAATTCGGGACACGTGAGAGCCACATATGGGCACAAAACCCACAGCCCAGCCCAGAAGTGCACCTGCCCCACCTGGCAATAGGGCAGAGATCCCAACTGGGATGCCCTCTCCTCAACCTGGCTCCAACTCTGGCATGAGGACTCCATCCCACAAGTGCCAAAAGCTCCACTGCCACAGGGATCGGGGGCTTGCCGGGCCTCAGAGTAATTCTAGAGCTAAAGCGGTGAGAGACATCAGCTCTGCTCAGATAATACATGCCAGCGCTCATCCCGGGCCCGACAACTGCCTCCTCCTCCTCCTGCTCCTGCCCGTCCGTCCGGCGCTCCCAGCCCGGAGCCGCCGTTCCCAGCGCGGGGCGCTCCCTGCGCCTGCAGCCGGGCCCCGCCAGCGCAGCCCCGCGCCCGGCGCTGCCGCCAGCGCCGCCGGCCGCACGGAAAACCCCCCCGGCCGGAGCCGCCCCGGCCCGGGCCCTGCCGCCGCCATCGGCCCCGGCCTCCTCCCGCCGCCGCCGAGCCCGGCCCGGCCGCTCCGCCCTGGGCCGCGCCGCTCCGGCAGCGCCGCGCTCGGCCCAGCGCCCGCGGCTCCGCGCCTCGCCCCGGCCCCTCCACAGCCCCGCCGGCCCCACCTGCCCCGGGCCCGGCCCGCACCACGCGGCGCTGCCGCCTCCGCTCCGCTGCCGCCGGCATCCGGCCGCGCTGGGGCGGGAACAGCGGCCCCGGAGCCGCCCTCAGCCGCCCTCGACGACTTTCCACCCCATCCCCCTCTCTTCCCGTCTCTCAGACAACGAATCATTGTGGGCAACGGCTCAAACTTCTCGACAAAGAATTTTTTGCCCATTATGCCACATCTGTGTAGAAAGGCTGAGGCCACTGAAGCCCACCCCTCCCTGAGGATGCCTCCTGAGGGGAACGTTGGACTATGACTTAAGTCTCCTAAGGGAACCTCAGATAGATAAAGGGGACACAGTTTTTACATTATTTCAGGCCTAGAGACAAGTAAACGAGGCTGAGGGAGAAGCAAATATCCCCTAGAAACCCAAACCCACCAACAGCCCTGAACATCAGCTCTGGGTGGCTTTGGCGTGGTCAAGGCCATGCCCCACAGACACAATGCTCTCAAGTTTGCACACACTCCTATCACCCAAAGGGTTCAAGAAGACGTTTCCAGTGTGTGGCAAAACTTCTGGTCAGAGGCACTGAACACCAATCCTCCCTAACACAACACAGTTCTCTTTAAAACTCGCACCCCAATAAGATCACACACACAGGACATTCACATGAAGGGCAGCTGAGGAGGGGTGAGAAACCATCAAGGACACACACATGTCACATTTGTAGTGTTCTACCACAGCACTGCACGTCACAGAACAGATGCAGAGACTCTTCCCACACACTCTGTCAACCTTGTGCCCCACTCATCCCCTTTCCTGGAGAGGGGATACCTGGGCATGCCCATCTGGCTCTCTTGATTCATAATCTATTGGAGCACTCCCCCAGCAACACCAGACCCTGGCTGCAAATCTCACAACCAAAACCCCGGGAAATCTGGGACTTCACCAGCACCTGAGTAACCCCAAACCTCACCTGACACAGCACACTGGGAACTGCAGCCATGGGGACTCTCAAAAATGCTGGATCATACATCTGGGATGGCCAGAACAGCCCACGCTCAAACGGACACCTGCAAGAAGCATAAAACATTCCAGGTTTAGGGCCACGCTGACCACAAGTGCCACTTCCCTCCTGCACACTCCCACCTGCAACAGCACACACAGAACCTGCACAGCTCTCAAATCCCACGAGGACTCAGGGACACACCGAGGCAACACTCCCACATGTAACTGCACACAAACTGCCAAACCATGGAATTTGGGACAGGTGAGAGCCACACATGGGCACAAAATCCATGCCTCAGCCCAGAACTGCACCTGCCCCACCTGGCAATGGGGCACATCCCAAGCGGGATACCCTCTCCACAACCTAGCTCAAATTCTGGCATGAGGACTCCATCCCACAAGTGCCAAAAGCTCCACTGCCACAGGGATCAGGGGCTTGCCGGGCCTCAGAGTAATTCTAGAGCTAAAGCGGTGAGAGACATCAGCTCCGCTCAGATAATACATGCCAGCGCTCATCCCGGG